CTTCAAAATTACCGATAATTTTGCATGAAAGCTTGTTGTCTAAAAACTGCATGAGTTTATTTTCATATTGTGGCGAAAAAGCCCGACTCCGAAGGAAGAGGGCTTTTTCGTTCCAATGTGGACATAAACGAATGCAGTTTTTACAAGACAACAAGCTCGAATGCAAAATTATCTGTTTATTTTGATGCACGAGTGTAATTTTGTTGAATATATCCTCAGTAAACAAAGTAAATGTGGATTAATTGTATTTCTATTATATTTTAATACACTTTTAATTTTATTACTTATGTTTATTAAATATAATTTGAATATGTTAGGTACTTCAGGAAGACATTTGATGTCTAATTCAACATGAAAAGACACCTGTCAAATATTTTTCGTAAACAATGCAATTATCGTTAAGTGATAATTGCACACTGTGCAATTACCGCTGTAATTTTTCGATAATTGCACACTTCAAACGGGCAGAATATCATACGAAGGAAATATTCAATTTAACGTTTTTATATGGCTATTTTGCCGCATCTTATTTTAAATCCTGTCACTCTTAGTTGTCATGACGAAAGTGGCCATTTTTAATACAATCAAATGTCAAAGGAATACTGACAGCTGTCAGTTACCTTTTGAAAAAAATCATAATCATGCCGCGACGCTTAAATTATACAAACGAAGAATATTTAAACTTATTTATTATTAGAGATAAAGAGCATGAAATCAGAAATCAAATTGGAGAAGAATTAAATTTAATGAACAGAGACAAATATTTCTTGACTCTCCTGCCTTTTCTTCTCTCTTCAAAACCGCAACGGTAAGCGAAACCAATAATTTTTCTGTGACTTTTCATAACCGAGCCTCTTATGATTGCTATTTGATTTGTTTTTTATTTTGGCAATTTTCAACAGCAGCGTTTTATTATTTTGTCTGATCTTTTCCTCATTTTGCTGCAACTTTGTCAATATCTTGTTCTAATTTAAGATAATACCGACTAAACTTCCGTTGCAGGTTAACGACAAAAAACCACAAGAGAAAAGGTTCGCAATGAAAACCCCGATATTAATCTAGTAATTTTGCTGCGCGGCCAATTCGAATCCTCTGGGCCATCCGAAGAAGCCTCATTTTTTGTACTTGAGACGCAAAACGATCCAATCGAAATGGATAAATAATCAAAATCAGGAAAAAAGAAAAAATAGTGGAAGAAAAAACGCCCAAACCAGCCACGCTACTAATTCTGTTTCTGTTTTTATATTTAGAGACATATATTTTACGACATAGTATTTTTATATCAAACAATGTCCAGACATGGGATGGATAAATTGTTTTTGCCACTTCTGGTTTGTGATTAGTTGCGGTGTTTTTACTGTTAATGGTGAGTATCAAAATTGGACAAAGAGACAGACAAGTTTTGTTGCAAAAGAATAACACACAAGCCTTAAGAAATAGTAATTAGTAACTGAAAGTTAGTCAGTCCGAAAGCCCCAAAGACACAAACATTTTAATTATGAGTCTTTTTTCGAAGTTTGAGGGTTTAAATATCCGGCAATTAGTCCAATTTTGCGTACTGTAAAACGTCTGTTAGTTTAGAATTTTAATTTTTAAAACGCTATTTAAATATCCGATCTGCTTTAAAATTACATTCAAGGTGAAGATAAAAACCTGCTGACTTTTTCAGGTTTGAATGCTTCAGCACTGGTTTGAAGGCAAAGTCCTGTTATATCATTTACGTAGAACTTTGCTGTTCATTTTACAAATTTTTGTTTGTTAATTATTATGTATTCTTTTTATTTTTTTCGTGAATATTATGTAAATACTACATGTAAAAAGTCATGGTGTTATAAAGTACCTAAATGCTCTACTTTTTTAAATTCAGTGTGCAAACAGTGTTTATATTTTTCGCAAACTGTTCTGTCTTCCAGCATCTTCTTGCATATTTTGTTTTTCTCCTGAAGGACTGCTATATGAAAATCTGCAGGCAACTTGAAAGGATTGGCAAAAGCAGACAAAAAATTCACTTTTTTGTTTTTTTTTGCCAGAATTCCTTCAGATTGTTTGCAGATGCGTTCTCTCCAGTCAGTATCTACACTGTAGTAGCATAAAAAAATGGGTGAGATGAAACTGTTTGCTGGTTTTAGATAACGATTGTTGATTTATTCATTACAACAAATAAGATGTCTTTTATTAGAACATTTAGGATATAATACTAAAGTATCGTCAATAAATGCACCAGAAAGTATTATGAACACAAAGAAATCAATAACAAACAACAGAAAAATATATTTTTAAACGGATTAGAATTTAGTAGATAAGGCTATTTGAACTATGAAACTAGAAAAGACCTAAACATTGTTATTGTGGGTGATGTAAATATTGTTCAGGGAAATGGTGCTGGAGTTGGCAACTAAATGAGATTGTATTCGGTAAGAAAAGGCTGTGAAAGAGACAACGTCGTTGTAAATAACCTGAACTGATAATCGATTATTTTCATATGCTCAAATTCCTTAAATAATGTAGAAAATTAAAACGCCCGTTGTTATATCAGATTTTTATATAGACAGAATATGGCCGCGGCCACGATGTTAAAATGAGCGGCAGGTTGTAGATCAAATGTATATCTTTAGCAGAAAAATAAATTTAGTACCTTTTTTTGGGTTTTATTTTGGAAAACTTTGCTTCATTGTTGGAGGTAGCAATGTTGCAAAATCAGTGGTCCACTTAGAGCTTTGAGGCTCTTAAAGAGCGCCTCGAGGGTTCACGTTAGTCCAGCACTTCGCCTCCTCAATGTAGCGGTGAATTAAAACTCCTTTTGAATGGCAATTGCTTCTTTTTAATCAATTAATATTCGATTTGTTTATTGTCAGAGTGACAACTCGTTCAGTCTAATCAAAAATTTAATCGAAACTGACATTTACCTTGGATATCTGTCAGTTGAGTTCTATGAGTTTGACCGTTTTATGTGCATTTGTTCGCATTTTGAATTAATTTGTGATATACAGGGTGATTTATTTACAAAAGTAACCATTTTAGTCATTGTAGCGTCGAAGACCAAATTGGCTTAATTCATAGGGCTTTTCTAACCTGAGACTAAAACTGTAAATTTTGGACCCAAATTATCCAACTCGAAGAAATCCGATGAGCTAAACGCGCTAAACTTCCATCGCTGAGAGTGAGGATCTTTTGATGTTTTGAGAAAAATGGTAAGCCCCCAACTTTGAAGGAAAGTTTTATGTTAGGAAAAGCCTTTAGAGGTTTAGGCCATCCTATACTAATATACATTTTTAAATACTAATTGGGCGTTTACCGAAAAAGTGGTCGTTTAAATTTCAAACCTCCAGTACTGTAAATCGCTGTAGCTTCAAATATGCATATTCCACATTTTTTGGTAATCAAACTGAGGAAAACAATGCAATATGATATGTAACAGACCCTCATCATCCATTAGCCACCCTCACCACTACACGTAGCTCTATATCTGTCCTAAGCACGACAGTAATCATTCACCATACAGTCTGGATTGTTTGGATAAATTTAGGGAAAAAACACAAGATGTACTTGTTTCTTGTAACTTATATTTTAAATAAACATTAAATCATATCAATATTAACTAAGCGAATACAGTATATACTTTCTTCGGATACAAATCAGTCAAAAACTCCTATTTCTATACATTTTTACACTTTGCCGTGGAAAATACGAAAATACTCCCAAATTACAGTTCAAATTGTAACCTTCTTGACATAACAACTTTTACCACCTTTTATGCTTGCTTTAATTCTCAAATAACTCCAACTAGACTTTGTTATATTTCTACATAAATAGCGCATGTTGAATTCAAACATTATTCAGGAATGAATACAGGACGTGTCGAGCGCAACAGACAATTTATGGTTGGTTAGTCGATTTTGCCAAACCACCCTCTCGAGTCACAAAAATTGTATTAAACTCAACTGAGTGCTAAGGTTTTTTATCCATCCAGGCGCATTTATCCTCCCTTAAATTCATCTGAGGACAATAAAACGCATTTAATTAATATGCACTTTCAATTATGGTTGTTCAGTTGAAAAACTAGCTAAGACTTCCTGTTAATCACTACATTAATATTTGGGCTAAATAATCGACTTTAATAATCCCATTCAATAGTTGAATATAATTAATACCTGCAAGTATTAAGAGCTACTCTTTTGAAGACAGAGGCCTTCCAGTTTAGCGATCACTATTCTCAGTTCAGCGTTCTTGTTCAGTTTCAAATAAACAGAATTTCGAATATTATGGAAAATTAACCAGCTGGGCATATCAGTTGCCAGGATCCTCAAGTGATCCTCCATCTCACTTCTACTCAGATTGCCCCTGTAACTCATCCCGAGCTTATCCACAACCGTGTCTAATGGCAAGACGCTCTTCTTTTCCGAAACGAAGAGATATCTGGTTAATCTGGCTAGCTCAGGCAGTCTGGAGTACATCTGGACTTCCTTTTCCTTACTCACTGATCTTGTGATGGACACAAAAGCCTTTGCAGCCTGCTTTTGACGCACTCTTTCTAGGAGCGCCTTAGGAATACCTATGGGGGATTAATCAACGGTAAATTTTGAAGTTATTATAAATAACTCGTTGTACCTTTTAATACTGATTCGGGCTTTTTTGGCAGAGTTTCCTCCACCGGTTGTGCAGTTTGTGTCTCGGTCTCAGTCTGACTCGCTTTGGCTTGATGGAGTTTTAAAAGGGCCTGCTCCATGCGGGTGTTGCAACTGAAGAGAACACGTGCGCTTTCCAAGAAGTCTTTGCCTGATTTAATTTTGTCTTCTTCTGGAGATTGGGGAAGTTGGAATTCCTCAATATCTGGAACCTGCAACAGATACATTCTATAACAGTGTTAACGGTAACAGGAAACATTTACTTTAAAAAAACCGGCATAGTTTCGTTTTAAACTTATTTGATTTGGAAAACTCATTTCACTCGCTGAACTAGAAAGGAACAACAGGCAAGCCTTGACACGAATTTTCGGAGAGTAAAGTGAATATGCTGCATTTTTTGCAACATCAATAAATTGCGAAAACAATAAATATTTTGGAAGAGCAGGTTCAAGGTGGATTAACAGAAATTAATTGGGTCGTCGCCGCACTCAATGCTTACCATTTCGATATTAAAGTGTGGATGCCAACGAGTGATCTTGTTCTTTGGTATTTCGATAGGAGTATCCAGATTGGAAAGAAACTCGTGATGATAATCCTTGACTTTATCCAATAATGAATTGAACAGCATCCGTCTCCTCTCCAGCAAAACCTCTGGCGTCATTTTCTCGCCATTCTCCACTATGGGCGCTACAACCAGCTCCCATTGCGCTGCCCGAACTCCACCTCCAAACTTCTTCAGCTGTTGCTGTTTAAAACTAAACGATTGCGGGAAAACCGTTTTAATTTGCGCCAAATGCCGCTCGGTTACGTTCCTCTTCAGCATCTCCTCAACAGCGGGTTTCAATTTCCGGAAAATTATGGTTTCGTTCCGATTGTACATGATTTGCATTACTGTGTCTACAGCTCGGAAAATTTCAGCCAAAAATCGGTATTTAAACGGCAAAGTTAGAGTGGGTTTTTCAGTTTCAGCGAAAAGCTCTTTGCATGGGCTGGCGCTTAAGGCCGGGAGAGCATTTTTCGCCGGGCTCAGTAAATGCAGCAAGTTTTTGCGCGCTCCATCAGTTTCTTTTCTGGGGCTCAAATAGGCCTTTTCTGGTGAAAATACTTTCTTCGGGCTGGAACAATAAAACAGTTTTTGTGTTGATATTGACGCTCAAATTCAGGGAAATAAGTGGCATTTTTGAATGGGCTGAGACAAAGAGTTTTCCGGTTCGACGTTTGGCCAAATAAAATATAGAGAATTTTTGAATCTTGAAGACTTTTTAATGTTGAAGTAATCTAATCTAAATGTTAATTCTTTGAAAACAATGACCACGTCCCTTTCCAGTGCACCACTCATTTGGTTTAAAAAAATAAATGTCTGCAGTAGGTTTAAGGCGGATTCTGCAAGATTTTGTAGCAAAGACCAATATAAGTTAAAATAAAACGATCATTTTTTGCAGGAACAGGGTTCATAAATGGGCCAACTAGCAAGTTTCTACTTAGCATGACCTTAGTAATGCCCTTTCATATTTGGATAGTTGATAATCTATGAATCAGCAGGGAGTGGACGTATAATCGCAATTTAATTACCCAAAATAAATAGCTGGGAATCTGAAAATGCGTCTGCAAATGCGCTAATGGGGTTGATTTTCGTGATATCGTTAGGTTTATCACGAAGCAAACAGACGTATTTGTTTAATTGATAAATTATTTTCGTCGGTAATAAGTGTCTTACCTGGTGGCTACTTCTAGTTCAATGGTCCTGAAGCTCTTCAATTTGGGCGGTTCAATCTGGGACGTTTTCTGTTCAATTGCAGTCAATTTCTTGTCGTTTTCCTCAAATCTCGCCAATGCAGCCTTGAACTTGGACAGCCGTGAGCTTCGGCTCAACTTGCTTCTTATTTCCTTAACTGAGGGCCCATCGCCGCTGACATTGTCCAAGGCATTGGGTCTTTTTGCTGGGGAACTAGGAGGAGTTTTTTCCATCTCCTCCTCAACTTGAATATCGGTGCTGTTTCCAATTTGCTTAATTTTCTTGCTGCGAATGGCCTTAATCACTTTTCTCGGGGAACCTGGCACATGGGTGTTTGGCATCGAAATTATCTTACTTTCCAGCATTTTCTCCTCGTTTTCTTGCAGGATATCAAGTTTTTCACTGGTCGATTCATCCTCGATCTTCGCCAAGCTGTTGGGAACCTGAGCAAAAATAATGCCTTCTTCTGCTTCTAACCCTTCTTTTAAAGGTGTGGGAATATCGCTAGAATCAAGCACTAAAACCTTTTCTGCCTGCTTAATAATGACATCGTCTACCACGGGACGCTTTCGATTGTTGAAATAACGCGCGATCGAAGGCTGAGCCATTTTAAAAACAATATAACCACAAAATGTAAACAAGTTTAAAGGGACACGGAACGCAATCAGCTGGTTAAATTCCCTCCAAAATGACTGACTTTGACTACGACTTGACACGCACTCACCACAGAGAACAACTTTTGCCTATGCACTAATTTTTGGTTTCCCCTTCTTTCCCTTCATTAATGTTCTCAACCTTAATCTGTTCTTAATCTGCCTGATTATACTTCTTTCCTTATGTACCAATTTGCCCTTATTTCCCCAAAGTCGTTCTAAATTACTGTCAAGTCTAGAAAACTTAACGCAGTCGAGGTTATATACAGGGTGTCCCGTAAGCTCATGATCAAAAGGGTACTGCGATATTCTTTGGACCAAAAGAAGACAATATGACCTAACTTTTATTAACAAAAAATGTCTGGCTMTTCTGCTATTGAAAGTCAAAGTTCTTCAAAAAAATTATCTTTTTTGAAATATCGGGAGAATGGTATGATGTATTTTAGTGAAACTCGCTGTGRATTTGTTCTTATGTAAGACTCATATTTTGATGGAACAATCGAGCTCAGCCGTTTTGGACATGTGGTGAATTCTTSAGTGTCGTGGTACAAAAACTACCAGAACTTTTTGGTTGGAGGATGAAATTAACTCATTTTTTTTAGGCTGATGCACTAATAATTTATTCACATTTTGTGCTCTTTGTAAAATCCTGAAGCATTCGTAGTTTTTGCGAAAAAAAATATTTCTGTTTTCTTGCCACTTAACAATGTTAGACATTAACAGCAAATATCGTGATACGAGGCATAAAATCATTGTCAATCGATCTCACAAATTCGTTTTGAATGACCTTTTCTAATGAAGAAGTGACCGACATGGTCAAAGTATTAGGGTTTTGCGACTAGAATTTGCGTAAAAGCGTACGCGTTTACGCGGCGCATATTTGCAGTAAATGTCTGGCATTGCTAACTGACTAGAAAATAGAAAAATCTTTTTCGCAAGAACTATGAACGCTACAAGATTTTACAAAGAGCACAAAATTGTAAATAAATTATTAGTGCAGAAACCTAAAAAAATGAGTTGATTTCATCCTCCCACTAAAAAGTTCTGGTAGTTTTTGTACCACGACACTCAAGAATTTACCACTTGTCCAAAACGGCTAAACTCGATTGTTTTATCAAAATATAAGTCTTACATAAGAACAAATTGACAGCGAGTTTCACTAAAATACATCGTACCATTCTCCCGATATTTCAAAAAAGATAAATTTTTGAAGAACTTCGACCATCAACCGCCGAGGAAAATTTTTTGTTAACTCAGACATTTTTTGTTAATAAAAGTTAGGTCAGATCATCGAGTCTTTTGGTCCAAAGAATATCGCAGCAGGTACCTTTTTGATCATGAGCTTACGGGACACCCTACCCTGTATCTTTAACAGAAAAATAAATTTAAAAATTTTCCTTGGGTCTGATTTGGGAAAATAGCTAGCAAATTCTATTTTTTACAACATTACAAAATGGGTCGTCCACTTAGAACTTTGAGGCTCTTCAGTGGGCCCCTGGGGTTCACGTTGGTCCAAAACTTCTCCTCAATGTAGCTGTGAAACACTTTGACTCCTTCCCACGTTTCTCTGTCGACGGTTAGTATTTGCCTGGCCGGAATCATGAAGGCATAGGGGGAGTCTGAAATACAAAAAAACCGTTTATTCTGCCCAAATTGATTTTGATTCCTATTAAAGAGCTCCATCAGGAAGCTCCACGGTATAAGCCAGCTCAACCCCAACGCTCTTCACCCAATCATCACTAGCGCCGGCCGCTGCATATAAGGCAGCTGCTGAGTTAGCTACTAGATAAGACGAACCGATGGTACTAGCTGAAGCGATAGCTTCAGCAGCCAAATTGCCCAGGCTTTGAAGTTCCTCAGCATTATCAGGGTAAACCACTGCATATCTGTTGGGCAAAATATTTAATTAACCGTTTAAAATGAGCATTTTTCGTACCCCCATGGGTATAGCAAGTATTCGCCATAGCTGTGGAAGGTGAGGTACAATCGGGCATTTTCCAGATGGTTCTGAACCATGTTTCTCAAAGCTCGAGATTCCGGTTCGGAGAACGCTTCTGGTCCGGCGTAGGTGTTGAGGCAGGAATTGTTTGAGGCTCCAGCGTGCATCCAGAAGTATCCAAAGTTTCTGTTCAAGTCGGTTCCATAGCAAGTGGCCCCGTCAGATAATCGGCGGTTTTTTCGCCAGATTCGGTTCTTAAAAGCAACAAAAATTGTTTCAAAGCAATAATAAGTAATAGTATTTTTAGGGGTTTGGATTGGCGTTTGAAAGTTCAAGTTTGGCACAGTTTTTCAAAGATCTTCCATGATTCGATTGCGCATTTGTCCCCAAATCGTTTCTTGGAAGTTTCCTGGATAAAATCAATTTTTCTGCATTGAGCAAAAGGAAATGTCCAATTACACGTTATTATTCATTTATCGCAAGTCCCCTCTCCATTTATGGGTTTGTGGGGTTTTTCAAATTTTTTACTCATCATTTTGCACCAGATTTGTTCTCGGTAGTTTGGGTTTTTTTGAGCATTTTTAAAATTTTTTTTAAAGCGAATTTTCCAAATAAATTTAAAATTACCAGTTTGCGTAATTCTTCAACTGCTCTCTAGTTCAAGCTCTATTTCTACAGCCCAAGTTTTGTCGAGTTTGTACTTTTTCACTCATCACTTTTTGCATAATGAGCTTCTCATCCGCTTTTAAAATAAGCGAAAAACACAGAATTTCCCTTTTTTCCAATTAAAGGATCA